GTAGAATCCTACAAAATCTGTGCTTATAACAAGGGCTAGGATAAGAGATATTTATTAGTGTGCTTAGAAACTGCTGTAAATTAAGTAACAATCAGGAATAAAGGGCAAAGATTTTAGTAATTTTTTTTTTTTGGTAACTTCACGGGAGAAAAGTCAATGAGTTTAATAAAATGCATCTTCCACACAACTTCCCACAAGATAAGCCCCACGCATGTTGGATAACAAAATTATAGAGTCTACGATTTTTTGCACAGGGTCCAGGAAAATAAAAGAGGTAAAGGAGTAAGTGTCTTTCCTTTCTATATTGAAGGAAAAATGTGCCATTTTATATTTCTTCTTTGAACTTAGTAAGCTAAAGTTAGTTTTCTGTGCTTGTAACTAAAAAGGAAAAAGGCAGTACAAATCAATTCTAGCATGGCTGTTTAGGCAGGGCCGTACAGGACGTGGATGACTGTATTTGAACAAGAGGCCCACAGACCAAAACAACGCCTGCTTACCGTGCTCACCAAGTAAGTACATCAGAAGGGATGAAATATTGAATGTGTGAAAACAGAAACCTCTAACCTTCAGAGATGCTTAGGGCGTAGTACAGCTTAACTAAGACTATGTAAGAATATGCATTGCCATCTGTCACAAAGAGAACGAGCTATGGCCCTCTCACAGAGGGATGAAATGACATGTATTATAAAAGTCTCGTGGGCTTCCCTGGTGGCGCAGTGGTTGAGAGTCCGCCTGCCGACGCAGGGAACATGGGTTCGTGCCCAGGTCCGGGAAGATCCCACATGCCGCGGAGCGGCTGGGCCCGTGAGCCATGGCCGCTGAGCCTGCGCTTCGGGAGCCTGTGCTCCGCAACGGGAGAGGCCACAACAGTGAGAGGCCCGCGTACCAAAAAAAAAAAAAAAGTCTCGTGTAGTTATGGCCATGCCATGGGGCTGAGAAGCAGCTCCCATTTTAATTCTCTCCTGACAAGGGAAAAATACATGGTTAGCCATAGTGATTTTTAAACACCTCATAAACTTGGAAATATAAATATTTTACTTGTTTAAAAAACTACAATTGCCAATCCTTAAAACCCCTATGAAAATTCTGAGTTACACGGTACAAGAATCTTATTGTTTAAATTGTGACCTGCCCCTTCTCTCAAATTCCTCCTTCCCCGCCAAAGCCCTCTCTTCTTGGAGACAGGTAAAAAAAAAAAAACTAAAAAAACCAAAAAAAAAAAAAAAAAAACCCCAAACCTCTGCCTGTTTATCAAAACAACACATTCACTGAGACTATCATTAATTCTCGGCCAATTCATTTGTGTATTGACTTACGTATGTATTAGTTAGGCTTTTACTTTCCTCATCTGTGACCCTCCTAAAAAGGAAAATCAAGATCAACTTGTAGAAAACAGAAGGGCAGAAACCCAAAATAGAAATACAGTCCTAGAATTATAAGCTTTTCCTAAACAAATTTATAAAAAATGGACACAGAAGGCATGTTTTGATCAGTATTAGCCAGAGTTCAAAAGAATCTCAGACTCATTTTAAGACAATGTTTTACCGAAAGACCCAGATTGTTCTTCTCAGGTTGCTTTTTATAAACAGACTACAGGTCTGTAATCCGTGCTTCAGGAAAAACTCTGTTGCTGACCTACTCCCTGCAAAATACTGTGATTCAAGTATTAGGGTTTAATATTACTGTCATGGGAAAAATGCTGATATGTGTAAAAATTCCAGAAGAATAATAGCTTTCCCCTGCCATAAGGAAAACTCTCAAGTTTCACTGATCTAAAATAACATGCCACCACTTAAAAATATGATTGTTTTGTTGGTCAAAATGCTTTGGATTAAAAAAAAATCTCAACCTAGTCTTAGAAAGATCACTTTGCCTATAGCTGAGAAAAGTAGGCCAGTCATAAAGGAATTTGCCAAGAACTCTGTGATCTGAGTCCCTGATGAAAACTCATTAAAATAAAACTGAAAGACTCTATTATCTCACCTCACTTTATGAATAAACACAATCTGGAAAAATAGGCACTTTTAAAGAAAGAATTGATGGATGACACATATATTTTGTGGCACAATTCTTCCTTTAATATGATCATAATTCCATATGGCTTGTAATGCATTGATTTAACTTATTTATGAAAAGTCCAAGCACGATAACATTAATGAATAGGAATGGGAAGGAATAAGAAGGGAGACAAGGCAGGGGTGGGGGTGGGGGGAGAGAGGGAGAGAGAGAGAGAGAGAGAGAGAGAGAGAGAGAGAGAGAGAGGAAGAACTCTCACCACGCCACACAGCTTTAATCAGATCACTTTTTAAAGGTTGAACTATAAGTGAACTAAACAACAGCTTCACGAGAAAAGTTATCTGTCAAGGAAATAACTTGACCTGAAGTGTTCATGATTGCACCATAATAATGACTCAGAACCAAGATCCTCAACTTGTTCTGTACACTATTAAATTAAAAAAAAAACAAAAAAATTGTGGCAATTAAAAAAAGAGTGGACATGCTGAATAGGTGTTAAAGGCTCAAGTGGAAGTCTTTCTTCACTATCTAACTAAAACGCGAGTAAGACCACTAAGTCACTAACAACACCCAAGACATCACCTCGTGGCATAAGAATGTTTACCTAATTTAGGAATCCGTAAGGTACTTCTAAGAGATGGCGAGAACAGAAATACTGTTAGAATACATTAAGATGAAGAGTTGAGATTTCTCTGGATTTTGACTTTTTGATGAGTATATCTTGGAGATTTGGGGATGGTTATTTAAGAGACAGACTCTTCAGTGGAGCATTCATAGTAGTGTAAAGATTCTTTAAAAATAAGGCACAAATCCATGTTGCTCTCTGATTGTCTCCCATGAAAGTGCACCAAAAGAGCGATCTCAGGAAATGAACTTGAGGCACATTTTGCAGAGGTATATCTTTTCCAGCCTCCTGGTTTCCTACAGATGGCTAAAGCATGGTATGGAACATGCTGTCATATTTCATTCATAACACACATGTACTGTAGCTCTAGGCAACAGATGGACAATCGCTTGTTTAAACTACAAATGTGAAATACTAAGGTAGAATAGCAACATTTCTAGAAATGTATATGGAAAAAAAGCCTTTCCAAGCCAAGAGGAATGGTGAGAGGCTGTGAGGTTACATCAGTGTTTCCCTGATCTCCCTGGCAGCTGCCATAACTTCCCCAACACCCTGCAAAACTTGATAATGGAGGGATCAAGGGGCAGCCGACACAGATTTGACAAGAGAAGCCCAAAACATATCAAATAGAAATAACACTGTTACTCCTGGCTGGTTCACATTAATAGGATTTTTACTAACTAGGAAAACTGTTGGAAGTTGTGTTTTCAGAGTCCTGTCTATATTCCATAAACCCTCTACTATAGCCCCATGGTAACATGCTCTTCTTTTCCCCCTGGGACCCAAATATAAAACACTTGAGAGTTTTATATGCTTGAAACATCATCACAAACATCTCTGCAGAATCTTTCATAGTGAGAAAACAATTATACTGTTGATATCTCCACTGTATTAATCAGCATACACTCAATGTAGTACTTTTGATCAGAGAAGTTGCTCTTACAGAAACAATTTGTTAATGAAAGAAAAAAGAACCCACATCTTTGAGCTGCAGACATGTTCAGGATCTCAAAGTCTTGATGCGCTTTGCTGGGACACATGACTTATTTTTGAGTTTTAAAGGCCGATTTATTTGCAGATGAGACTCCACACTGAGTTGCCATGAGCTGGAGATCCAGGCAATGGAGAAATCTAACTATGAAACGGTCTGCAGAGCCCAAGACACAGTGGGTTTCTTTTTCCTTTTCCATGTCTCTCATGTTACATAAAATTACCAAATATTTGTGTTCTTGACAATTTTTTTTAAAGCCAGTATATTTTTAGTATATTTTTACAAACTTTCTCTTATAGACTCTATGATTCTTTTCTATTACTTATGTATTTAAATGATTAACAATCAAGACAATATATCAAAAGACAGTAGAATTATAATCCTTAAGGTATTAGATCTTTATATCTCTGTTATAGGCAAAATTTCATGTAGCTAAAACAGTAAAACGTGATTTGGCATTGCTGACACCAAATGATTAAGAGAAGATAAGAAAGCAATATAAATCATATATTTAAGAAATCCTGAAATAAAATATTTTAGGATCCTTTCCTTATTATACCTTGTGAAAGAAAAAAAAATCTAAATCTAAATATCTATATACGTAGGTGTGCACATTCATTATTATAAAAGTATGATAAGTCTATATTAAAAAGAGATTTACTTTAAAAATCTTTGGTAAAGATACTCTGAGGTTATGTGATAAAATGCACTATAAAGATTGTAAGCAAGCAGTATTCTGGCAATGCCACAGTGAGGGGTCTGTGAAAGCATTTTTTTATTACTCTCTCTCTCTCTTTTTTTTTTTTTTTTTTGCATGTAAACATTCAGTTACATAAGGACTTAAATGTAACAAACAAGTAGAATGTTATTGCATTTTTATAGTATAAATATTTCATAAATTCTCCCTCCTTTGGCAAAATTCATACTCATAGGACTGCACTCCAAGAGATAAAATCCAATTCATACTAATAGGACTGTACTTCAAGAGATAAAATCTATCTCTCAATAAACTGGGCTCTTTGCTTTTGACCAAAAGACAATTTCCCCCCAAGTATTTCATAGAAAACAAGTTACTGAAACAATTCAAGCAGATTATATTATCATTATCACCTCAATTGTCTAATAGTCAGTATTCTTTGAGATCATCCGCGTGGTCTGGGCCTTTCAGAAATTCAGAGATACAGTTGCCACTGTATCCTAAAATTCATATGCTGCCCGAAGTGGACCCCTCGTATTTCACATTATGAGAAATGTGAGATCAACGATAAGGGCAGCAAGGTAAGGAAAGGACAGTCAAGGGTCAAAGGACCCTTTGAAAAGCTGTAACTGTGGTGGTTCTAAAACAAAACCGTTTGGGGACCAAAGCAAATGAGCCACAGATTAACTCAGAAGAGCTATAAGCTTAAGAACTTCTTACAGAAAAAAAAAAAAAATCAACCACCTTTATGATGATTCCTACTGAAGTAAAATAAATTTAACTGGGACTCTTGAGGCCTGGGTTGCAATTCAAAACACGCACAATTTTTCATTTCTGAGTGTTAAAATTAAAAATTAGAAACAAAAGTCAGACTAGAAAACGTTGTCATTTTCTAATCATGAAAAAATATCTGTGGAATCAGGGAAGGGTATACAGGGGAATGTAGCTATATTTGTTATATTTGATTTCTTAAACTGGGTGGCACAGAGATTCATTATATTATTATTTATACTTTTGTTTATATTTAAAGTACTTCATAATTTAAAAGTATATACTTGTGAAAAATTTGAAGAAAGTTTTAACTAATCTTAATCCAAGATACTTAATTAGTTTACAAAACAGTAACCTGCTACTAAAAGAAGTGTCCTTCCTTAAAAGAAACATGTTAAAACGTAATAAAGTATATGCGGTCCTGGAGCTGGCAAGTAAGCATTTCACTGCCCAATAAGAGTTTGAATAAAGATTCTAGGCAGAGACTGCATATTTTTAGCTCAAAAAGGCAATTTTTTTTCAGTGATTGTCTTTGAAAGTGTGGTGTAAATGTCACATCGATGATATGAAAATGTCTTCTGCAGTATGTAATTTGAGTTGCAGAAGGATTATAAGAATAATGAGACTGTGGTTTCACAATCTTTTCAAGCTTTCCTGTCTTTTTAAAGTAAACTACACAAAACTAACACAATTTTATGTGCCCTGATTTGCAACTGTCAGGCAAAAAGGACCTGGGCCTGGAAAAAAAAATTTTTAAACCGCTCTTTATAGCTATTTTCCTCTAGAGAAAAAGTCAATTTTGGTACTTGTGTTTGGATATTTAAAAAAAAAAAAAAAGGCAATATTTCCGGCATGAAAAGCAGAACAGTATTGGAAATGTTATATTCTAGAGAAAACCAAGTTTGTCCATATTATTATGTCCAGGTAGCATGGAAAAGGAAAATCTTAAGATAATATTTTGGGGTAATAATGAGTTTTTCAAATATAACCCCAAAATGCTTTATCCAGCATACCCTATCTGTAATTTCTTTAGAAAAATATTGAAGTTTGGTTCTCTCTCACCAGTATCTATTTTCAAATGAGCCCCAAACACTGGTCATTATAGATTTTGAATTAGGATGGCTGCAAATTCAATGAGGGCTTCTTTTAACCTATGTAATTTACAGCTTAAATTCTTTATAGCCTGACATATAATTGTGCATTTTTTTCCCCCAAGGGACACGACTAGTTTAGGGCAACAGAAAGAACTATTTTTCAATACACAGAAAAAGAATGGCTATCTTTTATGCTCACTGGCAATGTGGAAGTGATAGGATGGAGCCTTCAGCCTAAAAGCACCTGTGAGTTGGCAAACTCACCCAGGAAAAGCTGTGTGACAGCAAATACCACACTAAAAAAAGCCATTCAACCAGATGAAAAGTGAGACAAACATAGGGATTAAAAGTTAAAGGAATGCAGAAGTGAATGGGATGGAGCATAATCCGTGCAAAAATGTGCAAGTCCTTGGGAACAAAGGCCCATCAAGGTCCTACATGATTAAATGTGAAATGTGTATTTGGTGAGAACTTTAAAACATCTCATACTCTATGTGTTTCTAAAGGAAGGTTAATAGTGGATGAAGTAGAGACCATCCCATAGCTTAATTGCCTTTCCTCTCTTTTCCTATTTCTCTTCTTATATTTTTTTTCTTGTGTTTCATCCTTCTCAGAGCCACCAACTAACCGCTAAATAGGTGACTGGATTTAAAGGTCAGTGCTAGCCTTGGCGGTCAACACCCTGATGCGGGCAGAGTTGCAGGTCTTGCAGAGGATGTGTCCATCCAAAGGGTAGCAGCCTTGGTTATCTCCTTCAGACAGGAGACCACCACAATCCTGGAAGAAGGAAGACAGATGGAAAGGATATCAGTGAAAATGGAAACAAATTCCTTTGCTTTCCATTCAAGGCTTCCGTAATGAGGCCAACTACTACCTTTCCTCTTCATACACCGCCAGCCCCTTCAACTCCTTCTGCAGGATATAACATGGTATGCCTTGCATTAAGCTTAAGTAGAGACTGGGGACATCAATATGAACAGGGTGAAATGACCCTCCTGAGATCACTTAAATGGGAAATACAGGTACAGGAAAAGAAGAACCTGAGGGTCTAGGCTCCCAACTAGTAGTTTTGCTCCCCTCACCCAAACAACGAGAACAAGCACAAGAGAAAATAAAACAAGAATAGATCCCGAATCATTAATTCATCTTTGCCATTTATCATTAATTTAAGGATCTCTCAAAAGTAATATACAGGTGCAGGGACAGAATCTCCTGGTAACTCCAGGGCAGAAGCTAAGTTGTAGAGTGACTCCTGCTAAGCAGAAGGGCCACCAACGGGCTCTACTTACTTATTCCAACTTTAGAAAGAAAATAAAATCTTAAGGTTTGGGGGCAGGGGGTAGAGGGAAATGACCTGCTGTACTTTCTAAAGGATACAGCACGGAGGAGAGGACACCGTTTCTCTTTAGTCATAAAACCTAGTGTAAAAGCTGGAAGTCTTTTATTCTCTTTGCTCATGTGAAGGCCAGAGAGAGGCACGTAGGGCCAAACAGAGCACACTGCATGAAACAGGTGGTCGTTACAGCTCAGGCGGTGAATGGAATGACTGCAGTCCTGGAGAGCAGGGGCCACCCTGCCAGCCCCACCAGCCTGTGTCTTGGGAAAATCTCCTCGTGGGACTAGAAGAGCCAATCTCATGAGGATGTGGTAATAAAGAAGTTCATACTATCTCTCGCAGACAGCTAATGCGAACTGCTGCACTCAGGAGAGCTAGTAGCAAACAAGAAAAGCGCTTTCAAAGAGGGGCTCTGGGTAAGTCATAGGACGATAAGAAAATGTTTTAAAATCATTCTCTGAATGATTTTATACCTTTTCGTACCCAGATTAGAGGAGAAAGACTTGCTGCCCTTTGCTGTATAAATGGAGACATGGCCCTCGGCCAAGAGGCTTCCCTTGTCACTTCCAGCCTGGGTAACAGGCCTCTTGTAAAACACAAGTCCCATGAACACAGGCACTAGGGGCTCCCCCAGATTTAATAATTGCTATATTTATGAAAATCCGGCTCTAGTGGGCCTGGCAGGGTGAGGGGGCACTGACCACAGACCTCACACCGGTAGCAGTGAACATGGAAATCGCGATCCAGAGCCACAATCCGGACAGTCTCTTCCTGGCCGGGGGCTGGCATGATAGGCTCCTTGCACACAGAGCAGCGGGGGGCAAACTTCCTGAAAACGGAGAGATAGTTCTGGTTAGATACTGAGCATGGACACTGGCAAAAAGATGAGACTTGGAGGTGAAAAGAAAAGGTATAAACCAAGAGCCAGGACACCTGGTCTGCTGTCTTGTGTGACCTTGAGCAAAAGTCACCTTCCTTGAGTCGGCTTCCTCAGCGTAAAATAAGGGACTCACACTTGGTGACTGTTGAGGTCCTTCTAGATGATAAACACCATGATATCTGGTGAGGTGGGGGAGTGAGTGTGTGAACTGCTTCTGCATGAAGAGCTACGGTGGCGTGGGATTCACCTGTGGAGAGATCGCAAACCCAAACCCTGGGCTTGGGCAGGTCAGCCAGAGAGGCAAGGAGGCCCCTACTTGTTTCTGACTTTTGCTTCTAGACTTTTGTATGTGCTCCCCAGGCCCTACCCAAGTATCCTGAGGATGGTAACTTTGCCTCATTCCCAATTATTAAGCCTCTTCTTTGAAATGTGTCTTGAATTCTAGGAATGAACACAGGAAACCTCAAATACGTATCTTTTCAAAGCAGCAGAGGTTAGCGAGTTTAAATACTCTTTATACCAAACTTCCTATGGCCAAATCTGCAATTCCTATATTTTGGTTGTGTTAAACTTTTGTTTAAAAAGAAAAAATTATAAAGCTGTCCAGTTCTCTATTCTTCAAAGGATTTTAGAACTTCCAAAGGGCATGTGTATATGAATATACCACCCAACACACACACACACACACACACACACACACACACACACATATACATATGTTTTTGAGGTTAACTCTTGGTGAGGAATTTTAATATTTCCTAATCTCTTAATATTCCTTAATATGACCAATGGCCGTAACATTTTTTTTTCTCGTAACAGATTAATAGGCTGCAAATATAGGCTGTGCACCCATATGTATCTTCTGGAAATTAGGTGTTGTCTTTATGAAGGTGTGAAATGAGACGTGATTTGAAACGGACATGGATAAGAACTGAAAAGATTAAAAAAGAAAGACTGAGCAGCTCAGTTTGACTGAGCAGCTCAGTAATGGTTTTAAGATTAATGATGTTAAAATTTATCTATTTGTAGAGAGACTTAAAAAGAAATAATGATAGTAATCTAACTCTTTGCAGAGCACTTTATGGTTGTCAAGGCATCTTTACATACATTATACTCTATATGTACATATTAATTTTCCTAGCAGCACCCAAAAGGCATCTGTATGGCTGCAATCTAAATAAATATGAATTAAGCAGCAGATCAATTGATTGCTATGAAAGAAAAATTTAAAGGATCATGGTACAATTGCGGCAGTAATCAGAGTTGTTATAATTGGTATTTTATGCAAGAAGTTCATACTCAGTGGCAAAAAAAATTGCTTTGGACTACTTGATTATTTTTGAATCTGGGTCATCAGTAGTGAAATAAGCAGCCTTCTGGAATCAGCTGCAAAATTTCCTTCCCCAAACCCAATGGGACTGTAAAGTCTGTGAGGTCAGAAGTGTGTCTTGCCTATCACTTTATCTGTGAGTCTTCCCCAATGTCCCCAAGTAGGATTATTAACTCCTTGAGGATAAAATATCTTTCACTGAAATTGCCTATTTTAGCAGTAATTATCTGCATATCTTTGGAGACCTCAAAACTGTGAGCTTCCAAAGGCCAGGATTTGCTCTATTTCTGAGTTTCTAGAAATAACTAGTGTGGCTGGTGCAGAAGGTAGAAAGTCAGGCAATATCTAATGGAATGAAGTATTTGCCACATTTCGCATAAAAAGATGTTGCTCAGGCCTTTATGTTCAATCTCAAGGTTCCTCTCTGGAAAGGCACAGACTGTATTCTTGCTGAGTAATGATTTCTTCTTACCAATTGGCCTCATTTCTATGATGGGAAAAGGCAAAGTGAAGAGACAGGAAGTGATTTCCACCGTCCCCGCTGTGTTCCTTGGCCGGCATTTGGAGGATTGTTAAAAATCCCAGGTGGTCTATTTCAAGGCTCAGCTCACTAAGCAGACGATAATAATAAAATTAATTTGATACAAACACTTCTGATGGTTAAAATTGTGTGCTTATTATTGCGCCAAGCCTTGTTAAGCACTCTATACCCTGAGCCTTATTTTTTACTCATAGCAAACATTATTAAGAAATACTTTTATCATTGCTGCCTTACAGCCATGGGAGCCAAAGCTCAGAGAGGGATGATCTTAATCATTGGGTCCTGGCACATTTCTGGCAATCCACAAATGGATGCTGAGTAAACAAATAAATGGATGCATGTAACATCCCTGATAAGAAAGCACAGATAGTGGAATAAAGACTCCACACAGTGAAAGGGTCAGTTAAATCAATCTGCTTTTCTGAGCTCACTGTCCTGGCACTGGGAATACAGAAATAAACTCAAACTCCAGCAATCACACTGGTGAGGGAGTTCTATATATTTCTGCATTTGTTCTATTAACATATATACGTATCCTACCATATTGCAAAAATGATTTAAGGGGGTTACTGTAAAATAGCGTGTGTGCGTGTGTGTGTGTGTGTGTGTATTCTTTTTTACTAATCAGGCTATGTAAAGTGCTATCTATAGTGAATTTACAAAACTATAAAACATAGAGAAGGAGATATAAATTCAAACATGGGTTTAGGGAGCGTTTGAGATCAGAGGAGGATTATTAGAGTAGATGATAATTGAGTTGGGCCTTGAAAGATGGCCATTTAGGTGAAATGGAAAGTAAGTCTGTGTGTGTGTGTGTGTGTGTGTGTGTGTGTGTGTGTGTGTGTGTGTTTTGGGGGTGAGGGTGCGATACAGGCAGTCTGCCAGGTAACTAGTTTGAGCAGTCATCTGAAATGACATATGGGAAAGGGTTTCTGCCTAATAGGATGGAGGATTTGGGCCAACCCTGACTGATGGCAGTTATGGAGGGGACAGCCCATAAGCAAGGCTTTAAAAATAGCACTTCAAAAGCTTGTTACTCAGAGTGCAGTCCAAGACCACCTGGGACCTTGTCAGAAAGGCAGAATCTTAGGCACTCCCACCCCAGACCTCCTGAACTAAAATCTGCAAGTCTAACAAGATCGCTAGGTGACTTGTAAGCCCACTGAAGTTTGGGAAGCACCAGTTTAAAGGACGGGTTTCTAAGCAGGAGAGATAAATCCCTTCTCCTGGGCCTCGTGCATCTCACCATAGCTTCTATTCGCAGGCTGTTCTAGTTTCAACCAAGCGGATCGAGAGCCTTTCTTCACTCTGGGCCCTTCGTTATTGCCTAAGTTGTTCCTTCTGCCAAGAATCTTCATTTCCCGTTTAAAACACTCTGCTTCCAGAAGCCTACTCAGATCCCAGGGCCGAGTAATATCTTCTGGCTCTGACAGCTCAAGCCCTTGCCTGTGCCTCACATCGTCACCTTTATAGTCTTTTCTGCCTGGTGCCTATCACACAGAATCTGCACTTATTCTCTCCCCTCCTCCTGGCAAGCTCCATGCAGACAGGGGCTTCTCTAGGTATTTCTACCTATGCAATTTCTCTCCTTTAGCACTAAGCACAGTAATTGGCACATAGAGGGCTCTTCATAGATGTGGTTGAACAGAATTGAAATACATCTCCCAAAAGCCCACAAATGGGAGATCTGTTCAGAATGACCAGGAATCTGCAGAAGGCAGCTATGTTCCCCTCTCTGCAGTCCACTCTTCTTAGCCATGCAATGTCCATGGCTAAGACACGGCTAATGGGTTGGACTTGGAGCTGCTTTTTATTCCAGTCCTTTCAAGACTCAGAAACAGAGTTCTGTAAAATGTATCTTTTATTCTTCTTTGGGAAATGGAGAAAAGATCAAAAAGCTTCTCCCCCTGCATACCTGCCAATCATGCAGACAACATGATTTTTAATAATTTGTGTTTTAACTGGCCACTGAATTAGCAGTGATGGGAAGCATTGGGGGTTTCAGATTCGTTTTCCCTTTCAGTTGCTCAAGTCTGCCTTCCTGGAGTGTTCAGACCCACACACATGTCACCAGTCACAAGTCTCTAATTATGCTCCCCACTCCTAGAAATGAAAGATAAATGGCATAGATATAAACTTACATTCGTCAGAATTGATTTCCTGTTTTAATTGAGGGGTGTAACATATCAGTCTTTTTCAGCAACAGAAACATGTGTGCTCTGATTATATCTATCAGTCTTTCTTGGATTAGGGTAAGTCTAAGAAAGGAGAGAAACAGTGACAGAAATACCCTCCCCAATGGTATCTTTTCACTTCCCTTAAATAGACGCAGGTTTTTTTTTTTTCATGTGTAATTAGAAGCTAAAAATATCAATAACGTGAAGTACAATTTATGCTGTGACTGCCCTTTCAAAGTGAGCCCTTTCTTGTCTAATTCAGGTCGAGAATTCCTGCCTCTGGGGTTCTGTTTTGTTTTTTCAATGTATTCAGCCTCACATCTTTCGGTGAGGCTTTCACTTTCCCTGCTACTTGAAAAGTGGTCAGGAAATTCTTTTTTTTAAAATATGAATCTCAGGTCCCCAAACTGTTTGTGGCAAGTACCTCCCAGTTGCTGACAATCAACAGAGCTGTGAAAATGAACCCACAAGACTGCACATCTGGAGGCCATAGAACAGATACCCCAACTGGTGAGCCATAGGAGCTTCATCTCTCTGACGGCCTCAGACTGTTCTTAAGGCCACTGCGAAGCAAACACGAGCCAGAAACCTCCGTGTCTGCCATTTACAAACCACATCTATAGCTGTCGTGTGGTTCCTGGAAATATGCGACAAATGTGATCACCCAATTAACCAACCAACAAACTGGCCAAATAAGAATAAGCCAAATGCAAAGCTATACAATTGTCATGAAAACTCCAGCTATAATAAAGAGGGATCGACAAATTAGAGAAGTGAGGAGGTGGGGACATAATTTTCCAGGCCCATCCGTTAAGCGGTCTTGACCTTAAGATTCTACTTTTTAATCGTCATCGAAAGATTAGGAAATATCCTGAGGAAGAGAAGACCTGGGTGGGGGTAGAGCTTAGCAGAGGGTGTGAATATGCTGATAATGGCACAAAATAGCCTCCAAATATGTGAGAGGCTGCATTAGCAAGAGGGGTTGAACTGTTCCCTGTGCCAGTCCCTCCCATAACCTCCTATATGCAGAGTGGCCGAGACGTAGAGGTCAGCTCTAGAGAGAACCCTAGGCTGTCTCAGATGGGAAGCCTTAAGACAGGGTCTGGTCTAATGACCAAACTGAAGAGCTCAGAGAAATTGGGCAATTTGTCCACTGTCACATATCTTGTTCATGTTTAGGCCAGGGAGAGCTACCCCAGGATCCTGCCTCTTTCCAGTACACATGTTCTGCAGCTAAGTCAACTTCCTCATAATTAGAGCTACACAAAGATGTGATGGATAAGCCCCAGGGAAGTCTTGAAGCAGAGGCCAGGCTGGAGGACCACATGGAGTACCTAATATCAATTCCTGCATTGGAGGAGGGGATAAATAACCTCTTTTTAACGTCCCACCAAATCCAGAGATCCTATAGCTCGGAGAGAGAGGAGTGTTAAGCCCGGATACAGGCAGTAAGAATAGACCCCAAGAGGACACCTAGGCTGCAGGAGGGAGAGCAGGTTGCCTACTTGTGGAAGTCTTCAATGCAGTGGATGAGGCCGCCAGCGTCCACGGTGAACGGGATCCCATCCAGGCTGCGGTGGCACATCACGCAGGTAAAGCAGTGAGGATGATAGGCCTTCCCAGTGGCTCGGAGGATCCGCTCCATGATGGGCTTGGAGCACACGCTGCACTGCTCCAGGGTATTCTGAGGAGGAAAAGAAAAATGCCAACGTTAGGCTAAGACGTGAAGAGCTCCATTTATGTAGTAACTTACAGCATGGCAAGCACTGTTACAGAACACATGGGCTCATGTGCTTATCACAGTATTTGGAGGAAGGCAGAGTATATATCTTCATTACAGAGAGAACGAAACACAGATGGATCAAGTGGCTTTTCTAAGGTCATGCAGGTTCTGGGTGGCAAATCTAGGATTTAGAACTCATGTTGTCTGACTTCTACTCGTGTTCCTTTCCAATGCAGCAGGGGTAATAGCAAACTTTTCTGTAAAGGCCCATGTAGTAAATACTTCTAGCTTTGTTAGAGCAACTCAATTTTGCTGTAGTGGCAGGAAGGCAGCCATAGACAGTGTGTAAGTAAATGGGCATGACTGTGTTTCAATAAAACTTTATTTACAAAAGCAGGCTGGATTTGGCCATGGCGATAGTTTCTTGACCCCTGAACTACATAGTCCAGGTTCTCCACTGGAAGAATACTTCGCTATTACTTCTAAAACTTGATTAGTCATCAAAATCCTAGTGGGGTCACCAAGGATCTTAACATTTTAGAGTGGTCTTTCTGATGACCCAGACTTGTAGAGAGCATGCTGGTTGCAGAACCCAATCAGAGCTCAGCATAATCAATGAGGCTTTGGATCATTTAAAGCCTTGATTCAAACACCATTCCCACGCTTAGTGTTGTGAACTCTTGATGGAAATGTTGAACCTAGAAGGGTTCCAGTTTTGAGAAATTAATTAAGAAAGTCAATTTATTTGGCTTTAAAAATATGCTCAGCTTTAAAAATAAATCCCCCCCCCCTTTAAAAGGGATACCATTTATTGAGTCAGGACTCAGAAAGATTGATACAATTAGCTGTTAACTTTCTATCCTTGCCTAGAATACCATGCTCTCTTACCAACAGCCATGTTTCACATGTAATATGCTATATTCCACTGAGAAGTCTGGACTGACTCAATGAGTTTACGATTTAGAATAAACCTGGGATGGGGATCTGATTAGAATCATGCAGAACTCAAAGGGATGTGGAAATCAAGGAGTAATTTCCCTCTCACCACTAGAACCTTTAAATGGGCATGAGGCAAGGCGTGCCTATAGGTAGATAACTAGTGTGATGATGACAACTACAGCAACAGTTCCTGACTGGCTTCTTGTTTCCATCTCTCTTCCTGTAACACTTGCCCATCCTCACAGTGACTTCCAGTTTCCTTTCTAAAACACAGATGTGACCCAGCAGCTTTCTTGCTAGAAAAACTTATATGACTCCACAATGTGAAAATAGCTCGTTCCTTACCTGACATGCAAACTCCCTTTTTAGGCTCAGATTCCCCTGATGTCTCAGACTGCTCACTTCTGTTCAAACCTATGAGAAACTTCCATATTTCTGTGCATTGGCTAATGCCTAGAAGGAATCACAATTTGCTATTTTGACCTTTCAAGGTACGGGTCAGAAGGCGGTAAAGCCTTCCTCAATGCCTTCAGTTGGAATAAATTGCTTCTTTCTCTCCCCTTCCTGAGCACTTAATTCATGCTGCTTAAAGCACTTACAGTGTTCACTGTATTGAACTTATGTGCACATATGTCTATGTCCTCTACTATACTGCAATTCTTTAAGGGCAGGGACTATGCCTTAAGAATGTATTTCTCTGTCCCATGCTTCACCCAGTATACTACCTGGAATAAAAAGAAACTCAGGATGAACATGTGCAAAAAGAATGAAGGAAGGAATATTGTTTACATCGCACTTTGGCATCACAGTGCTGGCCCGACTCCCCTAACTCTGGAATCCAGAGGACAGTAAATCCATTACCGTACTCTCCTCCAAGTTGCGGTTGCTGGAGGTTCTGAAATTGCTTAGTATGCCTCTGGTCACAGTCTAAACTCATGGAAACTATTAACCTATTTTCCCCCCATTTTGAAGTGGTGAAATTAAAATAGCAGAAGAACATAAGATGAGAGTGGAGATGACGATGGTCTCGACAATGAAGGCCCTGGTTCTTTTCTACCCTGGTGATCTGAGCTAATGTGGCTGGAAACTGTCTTCCCAGGGTTTGTGTTTTGCTCTTCTGTGGGTTCTAACTTTTTTTTTAAAGCCAACCCTGTAATGGAGTTGAACAAACGAGAAAATGCTTGACCAGAAAATATTTTTGTTTGCATTGAGGCTTGGCTGCAAGATTCAAGCCCATTTACTCAAAACCAGCAGCAGCATAGAAGGTAGAGTCAGTTTCTAAGGAAAGACTTTATGGTCCATGTTTAAAGAACAGGTAATCTGAACATTTCTGCTACAAAGGAAGAACAGTGTAAAATATACCTAAAGTGAGACTATTGTAAAATGCCCCTAAATCAGAAAATAAAGGCTCCACGAATGCATCTGACTAGAAGCTTGGACTAGCAAATGGTTGAGGAGGACGTGTGAATCTTCTTCAGCCCGTCCTCTTTATTTCTCCTTTCAGTCTTCAACTGGCCCACTAGGACTCTTAGACATATCTGCTCCTAAAGAAAGGATAAAGACTCTTAAAATGTCTGGGAGGAGGGCTCTGGGAGTTCCTCTAGTCCAGGCCTCTGATTTCCCAGGTGAGAAAACAGACCTGGAAGACTGATACAGCTGGGACCTGAGTCATGGAGATGATTAGGGACAGAGGATGGGTTGGTACCCCAGTTTCCTGCCTCCCAATAATTCAGATAGGTATCTGATGAATTCATTATGTAGCCATAGAGAGACAAAGTTGCTAGATGAAGAATATGAATCGTCCCTCTGGATTTGTCAACATCTACCTTAGGTAAATGATTTCTTCTCTCTAGACCTTGGTTTTCTCACCTGTAAAACAATGATTAATTCCAACTCTGCAATTTTGTTACTCCATGATATATCAGTATTAACAGAAACAGGTAAAGGTCAATGTTTCCATTACTAGAGATATACTAAAAACAACTGGACAACCCTTCATCTGAGGCTTGAAATGAGGGTTCATGTGTTAGAAATCTGGACTATCTAAACTTTACTGTACCTTACCACTTGGAATTCCAGAAATTGCTAGGGTAGAATTTTAAGCACGATAGAGAAAGATCTCTGTGTCTTTTTACAGAAGGTTATTTTAAAGCCAGACTAAAAGATACACTCTTTATATAAACATGAGGCTTTTCTAAAGCAGGTTAAAATGAAACGGTTAATAAATAAAATAGTATTTAAGAAAATAGAAAAAGAAATAACAAGTCTTCAAGCAAACGAGTGGAAGAAGGGTGTCTCTAAGTATATCTACTCAAATTACATCTTGTATGTGAAGTAGGGGTGCCAAGTTTGACAGACGGGAATTAGGAAGGAAGAGGACACTCCAGCATAAGAACCTTCCAAATCAGTAGAGTGTTTAATGGCCTGGCTCTGAACCCATCTCTACTGGGACCCCACCCGTGGAGCCCACCTTCCAGCTGCCACACTGAGCTCTCTGCCACATCTTTAATAAGCTGTGTTCTTTTACAAACCCAGACTACCTCACATCCTTCTTTGTCTAGAGAAGACCTACTCATTCTTCGAAGTTAAGCTCAAACATTACCTCTTCTGCAAAACCTTTCGTAATTCTTCCTTTGTTATACTCCAAGCAAAATAAGTCACTTCTTCCACTCCCATAGGATTGTATGATGCTTCTATGACACCGAATATTATAATGTCCTTGATTTAAAGCTTTATGTCAACCTCCGTGACCAAACAGTGGCACCCTGCTCTCCCCGTGTGGAGCTATGGTCATAGGTTGAGTTTGCTAGGAATCAGATTCTGAAACAGAGCTTTGCACTAAAGAAGTTATTGAAGAGTGGCTTTGAGCTCATGCCTGTGGGTGAGAACAGGAAGCATCTGGATAGAGGGAGGAATTGAACTATGATTCAGTTATAACAAAGGCTTCTGATGGTTTCACGGAGAACTCTGGAGTTAGGATGGCTCTGCAGAATTGTCTTTCCTTGAAGTTAGGGGGTAGGGCTTTTATATCCCTACATCTGCCAGCCAGTGGATACGGGCTGCTTGCAAGGAAGAAGAGAGGGACTCAGCTGTGAACTGTCAATCCCAGCCAGTGGGGGAGTGAGAGCCTCAGTCCTGAAGGGGGTCTGGGCAGTGCAATACAGCATCCACAACAGTAAGCATCCTTGCCCAGGACCTCCATGGTCCATGACACATTAGGCAACAAGTAACCAGGTGTGAAACACCTTCTAGATTAAGCTGAATGAAGAGTCTAGATTTTACGCTTTTTAAAAATCCTAGGCCCTGTTTGGAGATTTTTAAGAATTTTTTGAAAATGTTTTAAGCAGTTACTTCAATGAGAGTGTAGTTAACAAGAGAAGATGTTAAGAGTAGCAGAAAAACCAAGAAATTATTTAACTGCTAAAAGGCACAGCTTATAAACTTTTCTGAAATGACGGCAATACAATTGTGATTAAAAACAAAAAGTTAAGTGAAAGTAAAAATAAAATCACGAACAAATTTTGTACACAAAACCCCCCAATGCAACTGTTTTTAAATTAGAGATACAATCTGGTTGTATCTTTTCTATCCTTGGATATTGTATAAATAACTTCTCTAATTCACAGTCAGAAGAGCTGTAAGAATCATCTGAATCTAAATGAAGCATACAGGTAACATAAGCATTGACTACTAGTTAGATGATGGAGAAAATAATATTTCTAAAATTTATATATTACTTAGGTGTGTGTATGGTCGCTGTTGAACATTTTAAATCAAGAGACATAAATACTTGAAGATTTGGAAGACTATAAAGTATTGACATTTAGAAATGTTAAAATTTTCATTTCATAAAATTAAAATGTGATCTTATATTCAGTCTTTATTGTTTTTTTTTTTTTTTTTTTTTAGGTACCAAAGCAATACTGGAACAGAAAAGGCTCTTGGAAAGATTAAGGGTGACATCTCATGTTCTACATACAGTTTTGGTCTTGTTGAGCTAAGAATAAAAAGAAAAAAAAAAA